TTTTTTTTTTTTTTAAATGAATCAATTGTGCTGGGACAGCTGGAAATCCACAGGCAAAAGAATGAAGCTGCGGCCAGGCACAGTGGCTCACACTTGTAATCCCAGCACTTTGGTAGACTGAGGTGGATGGATCACTAGGTCAAGAGATCAAGACCATCCTGGCCAACATGGTGAAATTCCATCTCTACTAAAAATACAAAAATTAGCTGGGTGTGGTGGCATGTTCCTGTAGTCCCAGCTACTAGGGAAGCTGAGTCAGGAGAATTGCTTGAACCCAGGAGGCGGAGGTTGCACTGAGCCGAGATCATGCCCTGCACTCCACCCTGGTGACAGAGTGAGACTCTGTCTCAAAAAAAAAAAAAAAGAAAAGAAAAGAAAAAGAGAATGAAGTTGTATTCCTACTTCACACCATATCTAAAAATTAACCTAATTAGCCAGGTATGGTGGCATATGCCTGTAATCCCGAGAACTCAGGAGGCAGGGGTTGCATTGAGCCAAGATTGCACCAATGCACTCTAGCCTGAAGCAAGACTCTATCTCAAAAATAAATAAATAAAATTAACAATGGATCAGTGACCTAAACTTAAGAGATAAAATTATAAAACTATTAGGAAAAACATAAGGTTGATCTTCATGACCTTGGATTTGCCAGAGGATTCTTAAATATTATACTGAAAGCACAGGCAACAAAAGAAAAAGTAGATAAATAGACTGTATCAATGTTTAAAACTTCTGTACATCAAAGGGCACCTTTTCACACTGAGAAACAGCCTTAAAAGAGAGAGAGAAAAAAAAGGCTGGGCACGGTGGCTCACGCCTGTCATCCCAGTACTTTGAGAGGCCACTATGGGTGGATCACCTGAGGTCAGGAGTTTGAGACCAGCCTGGCCAACATTAAAATTACAAAAAATTTTAATGGCCCGTGTCTATTAAAAATACAAAAAATTAGCCAGGCATGGTGGCAAGTGCCTGTAACCCTAGCCACTCAGGAGGCTGGGCAGGAGAATTGCTTGAATCTGGGAGGTGGTGGTTGCAGTGAGCCAAGATTGTGCCACTGCACTCCAGCCTGGGCAACCGAGCAAGATTCCTTCTCAAAATAAATAAATAAATTTTTATTAAATTTAAAAATAAATTAATTAAAAGTCTGACCTCAGTGGCTCATGCCTGTAATCCCAACACTTTGGGAGGCCAAGGTGGGCAGATCTTGTGAACCCAGGAGGTTGAGACCAGGCTGAGCAACATGGTGAAACCCCATCTGTATGAAAAATACAAAAATAAGTTAGGTGGGTGTGATGGCATGCATCTGTAGTTTCAGCTACTCATGAGGCTGAGGCAGAAGGATCACTTGAACCTGGGAGGCAGAGGTTTCAATGAGCCGAGATTGCACCACTGTACTCCAGCCTGGGTAACAGAGTGAGACCCTGTCTGAAAACAATAATAATTTTAAAATTATAAAAAAACAAAGGGACCAGGTATGGTGGCTTATCCTGTAATCCTTGCCCTTTGAGAGGCCAAGGGGGAAGATCATCATAGTGAAATCTCATCTCTTTTTATTAAAAAAAATTAGAAATAAAAAAAGACTTTTATAAAAGTGTTTAGCTCTTTCCCATCTTGCAAGATGGCAGGTGAAAAAGTTGAGAAGCCGGATACTAAAGAGAAGAAACCGGAAGCCAAGAAGGCTGATGCTGGTAGCAGAGTGAAAAAGGGTAACCTCAGTGCTAAAAAGCCCAAGAAGGGAAAGCCCCATTTTGTAGCCACAGTCCTGTTCTTGTCAGAGGAATTGGTATTCCCAATCTGCCACGTATTCCAGAAAGACCATGTACAAGAGGAAGTACTCTGCGGCTAAATCCGAGGTTGAAAAGAAAAACGAGAAGGTTCTTGTAACTGTTACAAAACCAGTTGGTGGTGACAAAATTGGTGGTACCCGGGTGGTTAAACTTCGCAGAATGCCTAGGTATTATCCTACCAAAGATGTGCCTCAAAAGCTGTTGAGCCACGGCAAAAACCCTTTAGTTAGCATGTGAGAAAACTGCGAGCCAGCATCACCCCCGGGACCATTCTGATCATCCTCACTGGACACCACAGGGGCAAGAGGGTGGTTTTCCTGAAGCAGCTGGTTAGTGGCTTGTTACTTGTAACTGGACCTCAATCGAGTTCCTCTGCGAGGAACGCACCAGAAATTTGTCATTGCCACCTCAACCAAAATTGATATCAGCAATGTAAAAATTCCAAAACGTCTTACTGATGCTTACTTCAAGAAGAAGAAGCTGCGGAAGCCCAGACACCAGGAAGGTGAGATCTTCGACACAGAAAAAGAGAAATACGAGATTACAGAGCAGCACAAGATTGATCAGAAAGCTGTGGACTCACAAATTTTACCAAAAATCAAAGCTATTCCTCAGCTCCAGGGCTACCAGCAATCTGTGTTTGCCCTGACAAATGGAATTTATCCTCACAAATTGGTGTTTTATATGTCCTAATAATCTAATTAAATAACTGATTACCTTTAAAAAATTGTTTAAAAGGGCACTATCAAAAAAGTGAAAAAACAAACTTATAGAGTGAGAGAAATATTTGCAAGTCATATTGCTGATAAGGGTCTAGTATCCAGAATATTTAAAGAACTCTTAAAGTTTAACAATAGGCCAGGGCCAGGCACAGTGGCTCACTCCTGTAATCCCAGCACTTTGGGAGGCCAGGGCGGGTGGATCACCTGAGGTCAAGAGTTCGAGACCAGCCTGGCCAACATGGTGAAACCCCATCTGTACTAAAAATGTAAAAATTAGCCAGGCATGGTGGTGGGCGCCTATAGTCCCAGATACTCAGGGGACTGAGACAGGAGAATTGCCTGAACTCAGAAGGCAGAGGCTGTGGTGAGCTGAGACCGCACCACTGCACTCCAGCTTGGGCAACAGAGCAAGACTCCACCTCAAAAAATAAATAAATAAACAGGCCAGGCATAGTTGCTCTTGCCTGTAGTCCCAGCTACTTGAGAGGTGGAACTACTCGCGCTACCAGGCCTGGCTAATTTTTGTATTTTTTATAAAGACTGGGTTTCATCATGTTGCCAAGGCTAGTTTCAAACTGCTGGACTCAAGCCGTCTGCCCATGGTGGCCTTCCAAAGTGCTGGAACTACAGTCGTGAGCCAGTGCGCCCGGCTGTATGATTCCATTTATATGAAGTATGCAGAATAGCTAAACCCAGAGAGACAAACAACAGATTAGAGGATATCAGGGAATAGGGTGAGAGGAGAACGGGAATTAACTGCTTAATGGGTAAGAGATTTTCTTTTCTGGTGCTGAAAATGTTTTGAAACTAGAGAGAGGTGGTGGTTGCAAAACATTGCAAATGTACTAAATGTCACTAGGTTCACTTATTGGTTAATTTATTTGATGTGAATTTTATCAGTAAAAAATCAAGAGTGAATCAGGTGTATTCTAAACATTCTTACTTCTAAGTGGCAGTTAAACAGAATTCAATTGTTAAAGGAGACTCAAAGACAGTACTTACAAATACACAGTCATTACAAGAAAAAGGTTTCATATCATAACCGCATTAAAGCTAAAGATGTCTATCACAGCCCATGGCTGTCTCACAGCAGGGAGTCTGCAGAAGACAGGTGCACGCTCCTGTTTTCCTCCTAGGTAAGGGCTTGGTGGTTCTCTTACAGACCAGGAACCAGTGATGAATGCTCAGAACACCTCAGAACCGAAGAGCCTAAAATGGAATCTCTGGATTTTTAATTTTGGTCACATAGGCATATCCCTGCTACATAATAGGAAAGCCCTCTGATGAGCACATGGAGACCCCGTACAAAGCATTGATCTGTTATCAATACTGACAAGCTGATACAGACTGCTCTGAAACTCCCAGCTTCTTGGGAGGCTGAAGTGGGAGTCACTTGAGTCCAGGAGTTTGAGGCTGCAGTGAGCTCTGATCACTCCACTACATTCCAGCCTGAGAGACAGAGTGAGACTCTGTTTCAAAAAAAAAAAAAAAAAATGCACACACGTGTGGTTATCACAGAGAATCAATAAAAGTACTTACATTATAGGCCAATGGTTCTCAGTGAGGGGGCAGTTTTGTCCCCTAGGGGACATTTGATAATGTCTTGTTGTCATAATTGGGAATGCTTCTGGCATCCTACGTTGTACAGGACAGCTCTCCCGCAAGGAATTATCTGGCCCCAAATGTCAGTAGTACTGAGGTTGGGAAACCCTGCTGTAGACTAGACCATTCAGTCTGTAATTTTATACATGGGGCTGTGGGGCATCTTGTTACATAAATAACAAATGTATATCTTAATATGTCTATGCTGCTATAATAAATTATCTGAGACGGGATAATTTATGAGCAAAACAAATTTATTTCCTCATAGCTCTGAAGGCTGGGAAGTCACAGGTCAAGGTGCCAGCAGATTCAGTGTCTGGTGAAGGGACATTTCGGATAGATGACACCCTCTAGGTATCCTCATATGGCAGAAGGAACAGAAGATCAAGAGGGAACAAACTCACTTCCCCAAGCCCCTTATAAAGTCACTAATCCCGTCTATGAGAGCAGAGCCTTTGTGATTTAATCACTACCCCAAAGGCCCCACTTCTTAATATCATACGTGGAGCTATTGAGGGATCTTGTTATTTATGTAAAAAGATCCCTTAATAGCCCCACGTATGATCCCATGTATGGGATTAAATTTCAATGTGAATTTTGGAGGAGGCACATTCAAATCAAAGCAGTTTTCATGTTGCTTATTTTACCGTTCCATGTATATTCTAAGTGGAAAAGTTGAGTGCCCTTATACTAATTCTCTCATCAAATATTCCTGAAAGCAACATTTTTTTCCTTTCAGAAATCTATATTATTACACCCAGTAAGTCACAACTTCAGGTTGACAAAATTGTGGGGAAAGGTGCTTTTCATTTAAGTGCCAGCATTTCGAATGTTCGAGTAAGCAATACAGAATGAGATTGTGTTCTTTTTATCTTCTTTCTTTTTGCAGGCTTTCATAGAGACCATGTTTGCCAGTAAAGCCCCTGTGGAAGAAGCCTTTCTTTATGCTAAGGTGAGCCTCAGATGGTTAGAACCGTCTTGTTGGAGGTGAATATAATAAAGCAATTTGATTTGCAGAAATGGCAGTGCAGTCTGCTTTCATGGTAGTGGTGACCAGCATGTCATTGGAGAGGATTTGGTTCTGAAATATTACTGGTCATTTATAAGTCTTAAACATACTGTGTTACAATTAAAGGAAATAAACTGCAAAGTAGAACAGATGATGATGAAGGGAAGATTTAGCAATGTGAGGTGACAAAAGTTATACTGTTTAGGTCAATGTAAAGAAGAGGCTGATGCCCAGGCATTGAGCTTGTGTAATCCCAGCACTGTGGGAGGCTGAGGCAGGCAGATCACTTGAGACCGGGAGTTCAAGACCAGCCTGGCCAACATGGCAAAATCCCCCATCTCTACTAGAAATATAAAAATTAGCTGGGTGCATTAATGCATGCCTATAAATCCCAGCTACTTAGGTGGCTGAGATACGACAATCACTTAAACCGAGGAGGCACAGGTTGCATTGAGCCAAGATCACACCACTATATTCCAGCCTGGGAGACACAGCAAGACTCTGTTTCAAAAAAAAAAAAAAAAGAAGAAAAGAGGTGGAGGCCAGGCATGATGGGACACACCTGTAATCCCATTACTTTGGGAGGCCAAAATGGGAGGATCACTTGAGCCCAGGAATTCAAGACCAGCCTGGGCAACCTACTAAGACCTCCTCTCTACAAAAATGAAAAAAACAATAGTTGGGCATAATGGCATACCTGTAGTCCAGTTACTCTGGAGGCTGAAGTGGGTGGATGGCTTGAGCCTGGAAGGTTCAGGCTACAATGAACTGTGATTGCCCAACTGCAGTCCAGCCTGGGTGACAAAGCAAGACCCTGTCTCAAAAAAAAAAAAAAAATAGAGGCTGAGAAAGTGCTTTAGATAGTGGCAGATACTCACCAATTTCCAGCTCCATCCTGTATCCTGGAACATAGTGAAATTAGTAGGATTACAGTTTTCCTAGATCCCTTTTTCACTTTTCCATAGTATTTAGATTCGTAGCTATTTGAAAGATTTAAATGAGCAATTTAGAGCTGTTAAAAATGTAAGCCACATTTCAGTGTTTAGCTAAATAAGAATAAACAAATAGTAACCTTATATGATTGTATTTCAGGGCTCAGCCTTCATCATAGTTTTCTGTTTTCTGGACTTCATTTTAAAATTATAAGAAATTTAGAGAACACTAAGGAAAAAAGAACAGATTTAATAGGATTTAATAACAGGCTTTGTGGGTACTAAAAGAGTATACGCACATAGAATATAGTACATGGGATGAGAATAAAAACAGTGGACTGAAATTACAGCATAAAAGGTTTGGTTAGATATGATGAATAGTTTTCCAGTAATGACTGAAGTACTGGTATGGAGGAATGAGCTGTTGAAGAGAGCCTGGGCTACAGAAACCCTTTGAGTCATACCTTGCTGCTGTTTTTCACAGTTTGAATTTGAATGCCGGGCTCGTGGAGCTGACATCTTAGCCTATCCACCTGTGGTGGCTGGTGGGAATAGGTCAAACACTTTGCACTATGTGAAGAATAACCAACTCATCAAGGTATGTGAAATGCCCTTAGTGCTACTTCCGCTTGGTCCAGATACCCTAGGAGAAAACCTACTAACCTCCTGGTCCCCTAACCTTTAGCTTTCACAAATTAGTTGACATTTAAAAAGTATTGTATTGTTTTACAGACATTATCTCATTTTATCCTAAAATTAGCTCTGTTAGAAAGGAGCAATTATGAACATGCCTGCTTAACAGATGAGAAAAATGAACTTTAAAAAGTAAAACAACATAGGCCTGGCATGGTGGCTCATGCCTGTAATCCCAGTACTGAGAGGCCAAGACAGGCAGATCACTTGAAGTCGGGAGTTCGAGACCAGCCTGGCCAAAATAGTGAAACCCTGTCTCCACTAAAAATACAAAATTTAGCCAGGTGTGGTGACACATGATTGTCATCCCAGCTACTCCAGAGGCTGAGGCAGGAGAGTTGCTTAAGCCCAGGAGGCATAAGTTTCAGTGAGTCGAGATCACACCACTGTGCTCCAATGCTCCAGCCTGGGCTACAGAGCAAGACTCTGTCTCAAAATAAACAAATAAAAATTTAAAAGTAAAGTAACATGTTAGCGCAGAGCCAAATAGTCTATTGTAAAGCCTCTGCTAATTTCATAATAACTCTCCTTCTCTAAGAACTTGCAGCAACAACAATGAGCCAGATTATCAGGGAAGAAAGATTTTAAGAAATCACTATTAGCTGTAGGGAACAAACATGTCTTTTATGATTTTCTTTCCATGTGGCTATGCAGATGAAGAAATTGTGTATTCCTTTATTAAGTCCATTTCTTTACTGATTTACTATTTGGTAAATCCAAAAGAAAAATATATCAAACATGTAAATTACACAGCACAGTTAAAAAAAAAAAAAAAAAAGGAATACCCATGAACTAAGCATTGAATTTTAGAGCTAGAAAAGTAGGTGGCTGTGTTTGAATAAGGCTCAGCATACCACTGGCATACCAACTTATATAGGATTTTTTTTTTCTTTCTTTTTTTTGTTTGAGACAGAGTTCACTCTTGTTGCCCAGGCCGGAGTGCAATGGCATGATCTCAGCTCACCACAACCTCTGCCTCCTGTGTTCAAATGATTCTCCTGCCTCAGCCTCCCAAGTATCTGGGATTACAGGCATGCACTACCACACCTGGCCTATTTTTGTATTTTTAGTAGAGATGGGGTTTCTCCATGTTGGTCAGGCTGGTCTGGAACACCTGACCTCAGGTGATCTGCCCACCTCAGCCTCCCAAAGTGTTGGGATTACAGGCTTGAGCCACCGTGCCCGGCCTTTTTCTCTCTTTTTTTATATGCCAACAAAGCGAAGGCATATGGGTGGTTTTTTTTTTTTTTCCTTAAAAAAAAAAAAGTAATAATACTGATATTTATAATGTGCTAATGTTTACACCTAGTAATTCAATCCCAAGAAGTCTGGTTCCAAAGCCTATGCACTTAAACACTATGCATTGCCACCTTTATTGAAGCAATGTGAATTCATCTGAAAAGTTTTGTTTTGTTTCATTTTTTTTGTTTTGTTTTCACATGCCTCCTATTTCAAACATCTGAAAAGTTTAGATGCTGTGTAGATAAATAGAAGAAACCAGCGATTAGTGTCCTTTAAATTATAGCTTTAAAAAAGAAAACAGGCCTGGGCGCAGTGGCTCACAGCTGTAGTCTCAGCACTTTGGGAGGCTGAGGCAGGAGGATCAGGAGGTTAGGAGTTCAAGACCTGCCTGGGCAACATAGTGAAACCCCATCTCTACTAAAAATACAAAAATTAGCCACGTGTGGTGATACACACCTGTAGTCCCGGCCACGCAGAAGGCTGAGGTGGGAGAATCACTTGAACCTGAGAATCAGAGATTGCAGTGAGCTGAGATCAAGCCATTATATTCCAGCCTGGGTGACAGAGTTAGACTCCCTCTCAATAAAAAAATATATATATGTGGTAGGCATGGTGGCTCACTCCTGGAATCCCAGCACTTTGGGAGGCCAAGGTGGGCAGATCACCTGAGGTCAGTTCGAGACCATCCTGACCAATAAAAGGAAACCCTGTCTCTATTAAAAATACAAAATTAAGGCCAGGTGCTGTGGCTCACGCCTGTAATCGTAGCACTTTGGGAGGCCGAGGTGGGTGGATCACCAGAGGTCAGGAGTTCAAGACCAGCCTGGCCATCATGGTGAAACCCCATCTTTAAAAAAAAAAAATTGGCCAGGCACGGTGGCTCAAGCCTGTAATCCCAGCACTTTGGGAGGCTGAGGCGGGTGGATCACAAGGTCAACAGATCGAGACCATCCCGGTCAACATGGTGAAACCCTGTCTCTACTAAAAATACAAAAAATTAGCTGGGCATGCTGGCACGTGCCTGTAATCCCAGCTACTCAGGAGGCTGAGGCAGGAGAATTGCCTGAACCCAGGAGGTGGAGGTTGCGGTGAGCCGAGATCGCGCCATTGCACTCCAGCCTGGGTAACAAGAGCGAAACTCCGTCTCAAAAAAAAAAAAAATTAGCCAGGCATGGTGGCACATGCCTGTAATCCCAGCTACTCGGGAGGCTGAGGCAGGAGAATTGCTTGAATCCAGGAGGTAGAGGTTGTAGTGAGCCAAGATCACGCCATTGCACTTTAGTCTGGGCAACAAGAGTGAAACTCCATCTGAAAAAAAAAAAAAGAAAGGCTTAACAACTTATGAGCTAACCCACTTTAACATAATCTTAATTACTTTGTTCCAGGATGGGGAAATGGTACTTCTGGATGGAGGTTGTGAGTCTTCCTGCTATGTGAGTGACATCACACGTACCTGGCCAGTCAATGGCAGGTAGGGCTTCTACAGAGTAATATATCCCACTGCTTCTTAGGAGTATGAGCTGGAATATAGCTATATTTGGAATGAATGACTAAAGAAATCCTATGGGTCCATTCTTGGTCACGTCAGGAGCAAAGCTCCTAATTATTTTCTAAGACTGTTTTGTCCATCATATCACAGGATGAGACACCTAGAAACACCTAGGTCACTAACACACAAAGATATTTTTGTAGGAGATGGGTCTCACTGTGTCATCAAGGCTGGAGTGCAGTGGCTATTCAGAGGCCCAGTCATAGCTGACTGGAGGCTAGAACTCCTGTTCTGAAATGATCCTCTCTTCTCAGTCTCCTAAGTAGCTGGTACTATAGGCATGTTGCCACCATGCCTGACTCACAGACATTGAAAAAAAAATAAATTTAAAGTTGATTTTTTTTTAAATATAAAAGTAATATTTAAGTTATGGTAGAACAGCTTGGTTGGATTAATCCTCCATAGATAATAATTATAAAATCTGGACAAAATATTAAAAATAACTATTTGAAGGCACCAGAGATCCCTTTGTAGTTCATATGTGTGATGATTGGGTGTTCATGTACAGGTATGAGATGTGCTACCCTCAAACATTCTTATAAAGTCAGCACATTACCGATCTGACATGAAAAAAATAAAAGGTGCCAGAGAGCTTTCAATAATAGGCAGAAACTGTACCAGTCCATTATTAAAAAACTATAATGGACTGGGTACGGTGGCTCACACCTGAAATCCCAACACTTTGGGAGGCCAAGGTGAACAGATCACCTGAGGTCAGGAGTTTGAAACCAGCCTGGCCAAAATGGTGAAACCTCATCTCTACTAAAAATACAAAAATACTCCAGAGGCTGAGGCAGGAGAATTGCTTGAACCCAGCGGGTGGAGGTTGCAGTGAGCCAGGATTGGACCACGACACTCCAGCCTGGATGACAGAGTGAGACGCTGTTTCCAAAAAAAAAAAAAACTCGACCAACATGGTGAAACCCCGTCAGCAAGACTCAGTCTCAAAAAAAAAAAAAAAAAACCGTAATGGCTAAATTTGGTTGTTAGGGCTTTTTGCCTGAGGACATTGCCCAACGCACGTAGCTTGAGCAGCAGAAAGCCACAGCCTTATTGATTTAAGACATCAGAGAACAGATTTAGGTGCTGGCAGAATAGCCAGAAAGATGAAGGAAACCCTTGAGAAGGGGTTGCAGAAATTTTGAGCCCCAAAATCTGCATACAGAATATTCAAAAATCCTTGGCTGATCACTAAACTATGTGTTGTGAGGAGGCCTCATGAGGCTCAGCAAAATACCAGCAGCTAAAAGCTAAATAAGGGCCAGGCGCGGTGGCTCAAGCCTGTAATCCCAGCACTTTGGGAGGCCAAGGCGGGTGGATCACGAGGTTAAGAGATCGAGACCATCCCGGTCAACATGGTGAAACCCCGTCTCTACTAAAAATACAAAAAATTAGCTGGGCATGGTAGCGCGTGCCTGTACTCCCAGCTACTCGGGAGGCTGAGGCAGGAGAATTGCCTGAACCTAGGAGGCGGAGGTTGCGGTGAGCTGAGATCATGCCATTGTACTCTAACCTGGGTAACAAGAGCGAAACTCCTTCTCAAAAAAAAAAAAAAAAAAAAAAAAAAAGCTAAATAAATTTAGCAGAGACTATAGTTGCTTCCCAGTGAGAACAGAGTTTGTAGGTTGAAATTATCCAAGTTAACAAAAGTACTAGACATCAGAAGAAACAGGTAACTGTGACCTGTAATCAAGAAAATCTAATCATGAAATAATCCTGACCAGAGGCAGTGGCTCAGGTCTATAATTCCAGCACTTTGGGAGGCTGAGGCAGGCGGATCATCTGAGGTCAGGAGTTCAAGATCAGCCTGGCCAACACGGTGAAATCCTGTCTCTACTAAAAATACAAAAATTAGCTAGGTGTGGTGGCAGGCGACTTGAATCGCAGCTATTCAGGCGGCTGAGGCAGGAAGATCACTTGAACTCGGGAGTGGGAGGTTGCAGTGAGCCAAGATTTACTATTACACTCCATCTTGGGCAACAGAGCAAGACTCTGTCTCAAAAAAAAAAAGCCGGGGGAGGGGTGAAGAAATGATCCTAATGTTCTAATTAGCAGAAGGACTTTAAAGTAGCTGTTATAGATATGTTAAAGGAAGATGTAGACATAATGAGTAAACAGATGGAGAATCTCAATGAGAAATAGAAACTAAAAAGAATGAGGGATTATGAGAAGATAGCAGCAGGAGGATAGTTTTTTAAACTTTCCAAATTGTCAAATAAACAGCAACTAGCTAACAAAACCAAACACTAGGTAATATTTATTACCTCAAAATAGGTACCTCATAATTCACTAACATTCAGTCTATAACTGCACAATTAGCAAAATCTAGACCGATAAACTGTATATCAAGCAGCCTGGATTCTTAAATTATAAGGAAATGAAAAGAGGTGGAGGAGGAGCCTATTAACTGAAAGAGATTTTAGTTATATCAAATCTATTACAAATGAGCACAGAAATTTATCTTGGGGTGAATATTTGGGTGATACATATATGTAGATAGAGTTGTTGTGTTTTTTTTTTTTTGAGACAGTTTTGCTCTTGTTGCCCAGTTGGAGTGCAGTGGTGCTATCCTGGCTCACTGCAATTCAGCCTCTCGAGTAGCTGGGATTACAGGCATGTGCCACCACACCTGGCTAATTTTGTATTTTTAGTAGAGATGGGGTTTCTCTATGTTGGTCAGGCTGGTCTCAAACTCCCAACCTCAGGTGATCCGCCCGCCTCGGCCTCCCAAAGTACTAGGATTACAGGCATGAGCCACCACGCCAAGCCGATAAAAATATTTTTAAAAACACAAAGACAGCCAGGCAAGCTGGCTCACGCCTGCAATCACTTGAGCTCAGGAGTTCAAGACCAACATGGGCAAGATAGTGAAACTCAGACTCTACAAAAAACTACAAAAAAATTAGCCAGGCATTGGTGGCACATGCCTGTAGTCCCAGCTTCTTAGGAGGCTGAAGTGGGAGGACTGCTTGAGCCCAAGAGACAGAGGTTACAGTGAGCTGAGATTGTAACATTGCACTCCAGCCTGGGTGACAGAGCCAGACCCTGCCTTAAAAAATAAAAAGGAAAAATCACCCACAATGACCAGACATAGTTACTCAGTTCCAGTCTCAGTTACTCAGGAAGTTGAGGCAGGAAGATGCCTTGAGTCCAGGAGTTCTAAGCTGTGTCTACTGTGTTGATCAGGTATCTGCAACAAATCTATCATCAATATGGTGTCTGCTGAGGAGCAGGGAACCACCAGGTTACCTAAGGGGAGGGCTGAACTGGCTCAGGTCAGAAACAGCAGGTCGAAACTGATCAGTGGTGGGAGCAAGCTTGTGAATAGCCAGTACACTCCAGCCTGGGCAACATAGCAAGACCCCATCTGTTAAAAACAATTTTTTTTTTTAAATGAAAGGAATAGGGAGTGACTGCTAGCAGATACAGGATTTGGGAAGGGATAGTAATGAAAATTTTCTGGAATTAGTAGTGGTGATGGTTATACAACGTGAATACACTTAAAACCACTGAATTGGCCAGGCGCGGTGGCTTACGCCTGTAATCTCAACACTTTGGGAGACTGAGGTGAGCAGATCACCTAAGATCGGGAGTTTGAGACCAGCCTGGCCAACATGGTGAAACCCCATTTCTACTAAGAATACAAAAATTAGCTGGGCATGGTGGTGCATGCCTGTAACCCCAGCTACTTGGGAGGGGTTACAAGAATCACTTGAACTCAGGAGGCAGAGGTGGCAGTGAGCTGAGATCATACCACTGCACTCCAGCCTGGCCCATAGAGCAAAGCTCAGTCTGAAGGAATTTTATGATAAATGAATTATATCTCAATAAAAATGATAAATTCAGTCAGGCGTGGTGGCCCATCCTATAATCACAGCACTTTGGGAGGCCAAAGCAAGCAGATGACTTGAGCCCAGGAATTCCAGACCAGCCTGGGCAACACGGCAAAACCCCATCTCTACTAAAAAAATTTAAAAGTGCTTCCTTCGGCAGCACAATACAGAGATTAGCATGGCCCCTGCGCAAGGATGACATGCAAATTTGTGAAGCATTTTATATATAATCATGAAAGAAAAAAATTAGCCAGGCATGGTGGCATGGGCCTGTAGTCCCAGTTACTAGAGAGACTGAAGTGGGAAGATCACCTGATCCCAGGAGTTCTAGGCTGCAGTGAGCTGTGACTGCACTGCTGTCCTCCAGCCTAGGCAACAGAGTGAGACTGGGTCTAAAAAAAAAGAAAAATTAAATTATGTGTAAATAACAGTAACATGAATAAAAAATCACAATTAACTACAAAAGTTAGGATATGGCTAGCATGGTGGCTCACACCTGTAATCACAGTGTTTTGGGAGGCTGAGGCAGGAGGATCACTTGAGGCCAGGAGTTCAAAACCATCCTGGGCAACACAGCAAGACCTCTATATCTACAAAAAAAATTGGCCAACCAAGGTGGCGCACACCTGTAATTCCAGCTACCGAGGAGGCTGAGGTGAGAAAATTACTTGACCCCTGAAGTTTGAGGTTACAGTGAACTATGATCACTGCACTCTAGCCTAGGCAACAGAGTAAGGCCCTGTCTCCAAAATAAAAAAGGTAGGATGAGGGTTGCTTATTTGAAAGATTGTCATTATTCTGGGAAATATAGAAGGGTCTTCTTGGGATAGTCTACCAAGTTTTTTTTTTTTTTCAATCTGACTGGTATTCGCCTTATAATGCTTTTTTTTTTTTTTTTAGACAGCGTCTCTCTGTCACCCAGTCTGGAGTACAGGGGCGTGATCTTGGTTCACTGAAACCTCTGCCTCCCGGGTTCAAGTGATTCTCCTGTCTCCACCTCAGCCAAGTAGCTGGGACTACAGGCATTGCCACCACGCCAGCAAATTTTTGTATTTTTAATAGAGCCACCAAATAATTTCTTAAGGTTTATGTTTGATTGATTTGTTTAGCTTTCTGTATCTGTGTTTTGTTTTACAATAAAATTTTTTTTTAGTTTTTAAATGAAAATTTTAAAGCTGAAAAGTACATTAACTGAAACGGGAAATTCACTAGGTGGATTTAACTGTAAATTGCAAACAGCAGAAGTTTGCGAACTTGAAGATAAATACAAATTATCCAGTTGGAAGAATAGAAATACCTTGCAGAAAGGCCAGGTGCAGTGGCTCATGGCTGTAATCTCAGCACTTTGGGAGGCCGAGATGGTTTGATCACTTGAGGTCAGGAGTTCAAGACCAGCCTGGCCAACATGGTGAAACCCCATCCATACGAAAATACAAAAATTAGCTGAGTGTGGTGGCAGGTTCCTCCCAGCTACTTGGGAGGCTGAAACAGCAATCCTCCCATCTCAACCTCCCAAGTAGCTGGGATAAGAGGCATGTGCCACCATGCTTGGCTAATATTTTGTTATTTTGTAGAGACAGGGTTTCACTATGTTGCCCATGCTGGTCTGTAACTCCTGGGCTAAAACTGTCTTCTTGCCTTGGCCTGCCAAAGCACTGGAATTACAGGCATGAGCTACCATGCCTAGCCAAATTCTAGGTATTCAAGAGAAGTAAAAACATTTCTCAATAAAAGGAGTTGCACAAGGACATTCATAACAGCATTTATTCACAATAGCATAACAACCAAAATGTCCATCAACAGGAGAATGAATATGGAAATTATGGTCTGTTCATACAATGGAATACCACTCAGTAATAAAAAAGAACATTTTAATTACTGATTGACTGTTTTTTGTTACTGATTGAAGCAACACCACAGATGTACTGCATAGATATGCTCAGTGAAGGCAGCCAGACACAGGAGTATATACCGTATGATTCCATTTATATGATGTTTTAGTTTAGGCAAACTAAGGTCAAAATAATCACAACGGCATTTGCCTCAGAAAGTAGGGATATTGACTAGAGATGGACATGAGGGGTGGGTATAGTCATGCCTATAATCCTAGCACTTTGGGAGGCTAAGTCAGGCGGATCACCTGAGATCAGAAGTTGAAGACCAGCCTGACCAACATGGCAAAAACTCATCTCTACTAAAAATACAAAAATTAGTCAGGCATGGTGGCAGGCACCTATAATCCCAGCTATTATTTGGGAAACTGAGGCAGGAGAATTGCTTGAACCCGGGAAGGGCAGAGGTTGCAGTGAGCTGAGATTGCACCACTTTACTCCAGCCTGGGCAAAAGAGCGAAACTCCATCTTAGAAAAAAAGAAATGAACATGAGGAAGCTTTCAGGGGAGGTGGAAATGTTCTGTATAATGGTAGGAATATGGATTATCAGTTAGGATTCTCCAGAGAAACAGAACCAATAGGACATGTATGTGTGGGCGGGCGGGCGGACAGATAGATTTTAATGAATTGGCTCATGCAGTTGTGGTAGCTGGTCTCAATCTTACAAGGCTAGGCCAGTAAGCTAGAAACTCAAGCAAGTGTTGAATCACAAGGCTTGAGTCCAAAATCTATAGGGCAGACTTCAGTCCAAACTCAGGCAGGGTTTATATTATAGTCATGAGGCAGAATTCCTTCTCCAGCATACCAAAGCAATTGTGACATTTGTGTTTATATATTGTGGTTTACCTTTTGGTTTGTGTTTCAGCCAGCCAGCCAGCCAGCCAAACTGTTAGAACTTTTCTGACCCCTTCAGTTATAACATTGAATCCAGAATCTCAGATTAGTGGACCCATATCATAAAGTTGCCCAATGCAACTCTGTTCCTTCTACCATTATCCCCCACCATAAATATTCATTCCTACCCATATTCCCAGATTTTTGTCCACTGGAAATTGGAAACATCATGCAGTTCTTTTTGCAATGGAGTGGACCTGCTCATGGGTCACACTTTCTACCTAACTTGGAGCCTGCTGGGACTTGAGTGTAGTTACAGTTCTAGAAGAACCAAGGCAACTATCGCAGGGGGGACATACCTATAGGTTTTCAGACAAAACAGGGTTAACTTTCTCAGATGGGGGTAGAAGGGCTGCTTCTGCTGGCAACGAAGACTTAGCAGAGTTTAGGAATTCATTGTCCCCATAAAGTTGGGTTTGGCACATGCATTTGTCAAAATTGTACAGTTCAAATATATGCATTTTAGTGTATATAAAGACACTTTGGGAGGCCAAGGCAGGAGGATCGCTTGAACTCAGGTGTTCTAGACCAACCTGGGCAACACAGTGAGACCTTGTCTCTTTAAAAAAAAAAAAGGTTATATTATTTAGTAATACTGTGGTGAGGTGAGTTATGGGTGCATTTATAGGTGATAAAATAATGAACCTAGAAGATGGGTACATAGGTGTTCTTTTGCTGTTATATTTAGCCATTCTTCTATTAGGGGACATTTAGAGTTTGTCTAATAATTTACATTTATTAAAAAATTACAGTGAACATATTAGTACATTCAGCTTTATTTTATTTTTATTTTTATTTCTTTTTTTTTTTGAGACACAGTCTCTCTGTGTTGCCAGGTGCCAGGCTGGAGGGCAGTGGCGCAATCTCAGCCCACTGCAACCTCTGCCTCCCAGGTTCAAGCAATTCTCCTGCCTCAGCCTCCCAAGTAGCTGGGACCACAGGTGCATACCACCATGCCCAGCTGATTTTTGTATTTTTAGTAGAGACCGGGTTTCACCATGTTGCTCAGGATGGTCTTAATCTCTTGACCTCGTGATCTGCCCACCTCAGCCTCCCAAACCGCTGGGATTAGAACCACTGCGCCCACCCTCTTTTTTTTTTTTTTTTTTTTAATATAAAGATGGGGTTTCACCGTGTTGGCCAGGCTGGTCTCTAACTCCTGACCTCAAGTGATCCACCCACCTTGGCCTCCCAAAGTGCTGGGATTACAGGCGTGAGCCACTGCGCCCGGCTCTTCTTAGGATATATTAGAGTAAAATTATAAGTTCTATTTGAGCATCTTTAAGGCCTTTGATGTAATTAGCTGTATTAATTTATACTCTTAACAACAGTATGTGAGAATATGTATCATATATCATCCCAGTTTTTTATATTATAATTGTTAAAGAAACTGTTATTCTAAAGACATTTAAGTGTTAGTATGTTACCAGTAGCCAAGATGTTGACTAGTTTATCCCATGGTATCTACTTCACCGGTCAGAAGTGGGTCCGTAGGCTTTCCTGCCTTTTTTAAAAATGGTTGTCTGTGCTGTAAGGGATTAGACAGGATCAGGGCTGAGCCTTGTCCACCCACTGACTGTGCTCATACCTGGGTGCTTCTTTGGGCCCTATTTCATGTGTCTCCTGACTGTTTGAAGGAGAGACTGTGTTGCTGCTCTAGCTTGAAAGCTTGTTGCACTTCTTACTGAGCACCTAGGACGTGATTGAGCTCCTGGCCATATTGATAGATTGATACTTATTAAACATCAACAGTGCCCCAGCAGCAGCAGCATCTTGGGGTTTTCTAGTCAAACTTAGTAGCAAATTTCTTATAATATCAGCTTATCTAAGTTCAGGTTCTTTGGTTTTCCTGTTCCCAGGTTCAGCGCACCTCAGGCAGAACTCTATGAAGCTGTTCTAGAGATCCAGAGAAATTGTTTGGCCCTCTGCTTCCCTGGGACAAGCTTGGAGAATATTTACAGCATGATGCTGACCCTGACAGGACAGAAGCTTAAAGACTTGGGGATCATGAAGAACATTAAGGAAAATAATGCCTTTAAGGTACTTCACTTCTCTCAACCCCAGTTCTCAAGAACACCTAACATGCTGCTAGTGTTTTTACTCTATATAAAGCTAATTAGATTTAGAATGAGACAGATGCAGTGATTCATGCCTGTAATCCCAGTAGTTAGGAGTCTGAGGCAGAAGGATCACTTGAAGCCAACCTGGGCAACATAGCGAGACCCCATCTGTTTACATATAGATACACACACACACACACATGGTTTTTTATGTTTAAAAAAAAAGAAAAGATTTAGAAATAAGAGGGATTTAGCTTTAACATGGATTAAAACTAATGAAGTCAGTAATTATTTCTTCCAGAAGATGGCAGCACATCCTGATTCATTACATGCTGCATAACTAGCTCAGTATTCAGAAAATATAAAATGAAGTCTGATGCAGACAGGGTGAAAAAGAAAACAAGAAATGAGGAGAAGCCTGGGAAACATAGAAGACTCTCTCTCTACAAAAATTTAGAAGTTAGCCAGGTGTGGTGGTGTACACCTTTAGTCCCAGCTACTTGGGATGTTGAGGTGGGAGGATCACTTGACCCCAGGAATTCAGGGCTGCAGTGAGCTATGATCATAGCACTGCACTCCAACCTGGGCCACAGAACAAGGCCCTGTTTCTAAAATTAAAACAAAAGAGAGAGAGAGAGATTTTTTATTTTTATTTTTTGAGATGGTGTCTTACTCTGTCACCCAGACTGCAGTGCAGTGGCGTGATCTCAGCTCACTACAACCTCTGCCTCCCAGGTTCAAGCAATTCTCATGCCTCAGCCTCTTAAGTGGCTGGGATTACAGGTGTGCACCACCATACCCAGCTAATTTTTGTATTTTTAGTAGAGACGGGAGTTTCACCATATTGGTCAGCCTGGTCTCAAACTCCTGATCTCATGATCCACCCACCCCGTGCTGGGATCATAGGCATCAGCCACCATGCCCAGACGAGAGATTAACTTTTAATCCTTTTATAGGTTGTTCTGGAGGTCAAAGGAGAAGATATTTGTTGGTTAAGTGACATTTTTGAGACTTCAGCAATATTTCCAAAGGCCACATCATTCATGAATTTGTTCTGCATCCAAAATGTGATAATGTTCAGTAAAAATGTAAAACCTCAGCTTTAAAATTAAGATGCTAGATGTCCAAGTCAGACCATTAGGCATCTCCTGCCTCCAAGTTAAGGCGTCTAGGAATTCTGTTATCAATAAAAAGGAAGCTATAAATTGCCTGTTGCTCAGACCAACAAATCTTTAATTGATAGAAATACCCAAGCTAACTGGGCATGGTGTCTCATACCTGTAATCCCAGCACTTTGGGAGGCTGAGGCAGGCGGGTCACATCAGGTCAGGAGTTCGAGACCAGCCTGGCCAACATGGTGAAACCCCGTCTCTACTAAAAATACAAAAAGTAGCCAGGCATGGTGTTGCGTGCCTGTAATCCCAGCTACTCAGGAGGCTGAGGCAGGAGAATAGCTTGAACTCCGAAGGTGGAGTTTGCAGTGAGCCAAGATCATACCACTACACTCCAGCCTGGGCAACAGAGCAAGACTCCCATCTCAAAAAAGAAAAAAAAAAAAAAAAGAAAGAAATACCCAAGCTGATAGGTGCCCAAAAGTATGCCTTCTCCATAAGTTGCTGTGAGATACTTAGGGTCTCCAGAGTAGATTCCTGAGAGGGATATGTGAGCGAACATTAAAACGAGAACTGTTTTAATAGTCACCAAGAAAAGAGATTTTTTTTTTCCTTTCCTTTATTTTTACCTTTCCTATGGTACTGAAGAAAAGAGACTTTCATTTGCCACAGTCATTAGTTGGGATTACCCAAGTCAGCATATATGTAGTATATTAAATAGTGGGAATGGAAATGTGGATTTATGAGAATGCCACTGGCAGAATTGCATATGAGGTCGCAGTTTTTCCGGTGCCTGTAAGTATTAGTCCAAGGATGGATTAAACTAAAGTGGCAAAACGGTGGGGGAGATATGAGCACATATCTCACTGATTTATACTTGCCCATCATTCCCCGTAAGAGGGCATTGCTCTAATGATACTGTGATAATTTTCCAGGCTGCTCGAAAATACTGCCCTCATCATGTTGGCCACTACCTTGGGATGGATGTCCACGACACTCCAGACATGCCCCGTTCCCTCCCTCTACAGCCTGGGATGGTAATCACAATTGAGCCAGGTGAGGAGACTGTTATAACAGTAGTATGAGGTAAACATTGTTTGTTTGTTTTTGAGATGGAGTTTCACTCTTTCACCCAGGCTGGAGTGAAGTGATATGATCTTGACTCACTGCAACCTCCGCCCCCCCGGGTTCAGCAATTCTTCTGCCTCAGCCTTCTAAGTAGCTGATATTATAGGCACCCGCCACCATGAATGGCTAGTTTCTATATTTTTAGTAGAGACAGGGTTTCACCATGTTGGTCAGACTGGTCTCAAACTCTCATCCTCAGATGATCTACCTGTCTCAGCCTCCCAAAGTGGTAGGATTACAGGTGTGAGCCACCATGTGTGGCCACATTGTTTATTTTTACCTCAACCAAAGTAATTAAGTTAGAAGAGACAGGAAAAAGAGTCTCTCCAGTGTAGAAGATAATTTTATTTTAGATTTATCTTTCTTATTCTTTTTTTTTTTTTTTTTGAAACGGAGTTTCGCTCTTGTTACCCAGGCTGGAGTACAATGGCGCAATCTCGGCTCACCGCAACCTCTGCCTCCTGGGTTCAGGCAATTCTCCTGCCTCAGCCTCCCGAGTAGCTGGGATTACAGGCACGCACCGCCGTGCCCAGCTAATTTTTTGTATTTTTAGTAGAGACGGGGTTTCACCATGTTGACCAGGATGGTCCCGATCTGCTGACCTCGTGATCCACCCGCCTCGGCCTCCCAAAGTGCTGGGATTACAGGCTTGAGCCACCGCGCCCGGCCTTATCTTTCTTATTCTTATTTAACATCACACAATTTGTTCCATTTGACTCTTCCAATAAACAACAGATGGGAAATACTTCCTATAAGCAGATGTTAAGAAATGAATCTTTTTTAATCCTGCCTTTGCTGGGGCCAGTTTGTACTGGTCTCCCATTTAGTACTAGGGGGCTCCTCAAGCTTCCAGAGCCCCCAGTGCTTGCATGCAGAGAGACACGCAGACACACTATACTCTCAGTCTCAACACCTCTGCAAGCTGCATTGATCTACCCAGCACCATCCCACTCCTTAGTATCCAGTGCCTTCCTCATAAGCTTTGGAGAAAGCTAACAATTAGATAGTTACCTAACTGGAGTGGTCCTGGGTCTTGGGCGGAATTCTGAAGAGAAGCAGTGGTCACAGTTATGTGAAGATTGACATTGTCAGAGTTGATGGTTAAACACTGATGCTGGTTTTGTTTTGAAAAACGGCTAAATTTTTTTATCTAAATTTTAGATTCCAAGTATTTTAATCTCTATATAAATTATGGCTGTGGAATGTCTTTTATGCCACTCTTTGAACCCAGTCATACATTGCTATCTGTGCCCATAGATACATCATTTAGTTCAATCTGAGTGGTACCTGGGTGCTTCCTTAGACTGTGCTACATTTTCCTTTGCTGATCTCTTTTTTTTTTTAATCACAGAGGCGGTATCTGTGAGGATAGTGAAAGAAGTTTACAACTTCTTTCTTATGAAAAGACCTGTTGTATTTCTTAACTTCATGATTAGAAAGGGTACCTGGGGTTCCTACATTTTTCCAAATGTACATTAAAGTCTTTCAGTTTCTCCTTTATTTTACATTATGCACATCAGATATATTTAAACCTTGAAAGGAAAACAAAAAATTTCATAACAACTGTTTCTGCAGCTTCCAGTTATCAAGGCTGATAATCTCTAAATAATTATTTAATACATTTTAAATGTATTTTGTCTTTATTTTTGCCAAGTGCTTTTTCCAGGGTACTCTTAGGCAGGGGAAGAATGCACTTTTATAATCTCTTTGTCCCCCACATATATTGAGGTATTTTTATTTTTTTTGAGATAGAGTCTCGTTCTGTCACCCAGGCTGGAGTACAATGGCATGGTCTCGGCTCACTGCAACCTCCGCCTCCCGGGTTCAAGCGATTCTCCCTCCTCAGCCTCTGGAGTAGCTGGGACTACAGGCACCCACCACCACAGCCAGCTAATTTTTGTATTTTTAGTAGAGACAGGGGTTTCACCATGTTGGCCAGGCTGGTCTCGAACTCCTGACCTTGTGAACCACCCACCTTGGCCTCCCAAAGTGCTGGGATTACAGGTGTGAGCCACCGCGCCCAGCCATTGATGTACTTTTAAGTTAGGTAACTTTACTGGCCTGCTTGAGCCACTAGAATATGACAAAATCATGGTCAGCATTGCCATAGTTGTATGGAGCTTATAGTCCATTTTACAGATAATCGGAATAATTTTAGTAATGATACCAGCAGGTGTTGACCATTATATACCAGGCATTTTGGCATGTATTATCTCATTTAATCCTCACAATTATTAGGTAGGTACCATAAAGATCCAGCACTACAGAGGAAGGAATTTTAACCCAGAGGTTAACTTACTTGCCCCAAAGCACCCAGTTTCTTTTTTTTTTTTTTTTTTTTAATGATTACACACAACTTTGCTCAAAACCACCCAGTTTCTGTCATTCCTGAACAGCATGTTCTTCTTTCTACTTCACAGGCATTTATATTCCAGAGGATGACAGAGATGCCCCAGAGAAGTTTCGGGGTCTTGGTGTACGAATTGAGGATGATGTAGTGGTGACTCAGGACTCACCTCTCATCCTTTCTGCAGATTGTCCCAAAGAGATGAATGACATTGAACAGATATGTAGCCCAGCCTCTTGACCTTCACTGCAGCCCACATGCACTTCAGGTTCAAGATGAGTGTATGCTGGCATCCCTGCACATGTGCTTTCTGAATATCTCTCTGTGTGCATTTATATACATATTCCATTTGGGAATACAGCAGCTGTGTGAATGTATGTAATCATGTTTGTGTGGGTTTTTTCTGTTTTAAGTAGTTAGAAGTCTGGAAAAATGAATTTTTGAATAGTATGTTGCTGCAGCTTTGGTAACATTAATTCTATAGAATTTATGACCAGACAAGTTTAATTTTTAAACATAAAGAAAGGTCTTGTTTACATATGTCCATATATTCCAGTTAACACATTTAAACATATAGAAAATTCACTTCTTTCAAGTCCTTCCCTTTCTGTTCTTTTGCTGAGATCCACCCAATATCATAATAAGTTTGTGTGATGCCTGTATTTTTAGCTAATCACCAAGGTCTCTGCTTATGCTAAAATTCACCTGTTGGTGATTGTGGGTGGCCAATACATTCCTTATGTAACTCCTCCCTACCTATTCTAGATCCTGCGTGTCTACTGGAGCCACATGAACCCTCAGGGGAACTGGTGTCCTACGTTCTTACTAGTCAGCCACAGTCCAGGTTCCATCAACAATAGCTACCTACCAAACAAAACAGTTGTGAGCCTTTCTTGCCATTTGGTTGCCCAGGATCTGGAAAGTGTTCAGATTCTTGATAAAGAAGGAAATGGAAGAGAAAGAAAAGTATGTATGTATCTACTAAATATCCAGACATCAGGGCTGGGCACGGTGGCTCATGCCTATAATCTCAGCATTTTGGGAGGTCAAGGCAGGTGGGTCACTTGAGACCAGGAGGTTGAGACCAGCCTGGCCAACATGGTGAAACCCTGCCTCTACTAAAAATACAGAAATTAGTTCATGCCTGTAATCCCAGCTACTTGGGAGGCTGAGACATGACAATTGCTTGAACCTGGGAGGTGGAGGTTGTAGTGAGCTGAGACCATGCGACTACACTCTAGCCTGAATGACTGAGCGAAACTCTCTGCTTCCAAAAAAAAAAAAAAAAAAAAAAATCCAGACATCCAGATGTCTTTTCTCTTCAATTTAAAGATGATTTCTTAATGATGCCTTCAAAAATTAATAAAAAGAAAAAAGAATGATTTCTTTCCCAGATATCCCTGTTCCCTCTATGGATTCTTAATCCACTGACCCTCACGGGTTATCCTTGTAGCTATGCAGAGGCAGATCCTCTACTTACTTACCGTGTCAGAGTCACAAAGTCACAGTCGTGGCACCGTTTTCAGAGAAGCACCCCTGTTATCATTCTGTGATTTCCTCTAGTGCTAATAAAAACAAAATACGAATCCACCAATAAATATCTTGATTCCTATCTTTCTCTGATATTAGCACTGAGCGTGCAGTGGTAAAGAGTCATTTCTTTTTTTTTTTGGAGGGAGAGGGAGTCTCACTCTATTGCCCAGGCTGGAGTGCAGTGGTGCGATCTCAGCTCACTGCAACCTTCCCCTACCGGGTTCAAGCAATATTCCTGCCTCAGCCTCCCAAGTAGTTGGGGCTACAGGTGAATATTGCCATGCCCAGCTAATTTTTTGTATTTTAGTAGAGATGGGGTTTCACCATGTTACCCAGGCTGGTGTCAAACTCCTGAGCTCAGGCAGTCTGCCCACCTTGGCCTCCCAAAGTGCTATGATTACAGGCTGTGAGCCACCGCATATGGCCTAAGTCATATTTCTTTAAAACCAACATTGGATACAATTATACAGCAACTCAGTGTGCAAGGTGAACAGGGCTAGATTACCACAGATAGCTTATTTAGGAGCTTCTGTGATAGAGGGAAGCTTTAAGAGCCAGTGTGTTCATCTCCTTTTAAACCTGGATATGGGCTCAAGATGTATAAAACATGCCAGTCGTTACAACACAAATTTGAGGGTCTTTTTTTTTTTCTAAAGACGGGGTTTCACCATGTTGGTCAGGCTGGTATTGAACTCCCAACCTCAGGTGATCCACCCACCTCGGCCTCCAAAGTGCTTGGATTACAGGCGTGAGCCACCACGCCCAACCTATTTGAGGGTTTTTAAAAATATATATATTTGTATTAGGGAAGCACAAGCTAGGGGATTAACAGTCTCTGCAGTGCTGAAAGTTTACCTATCTTATCAGGGAAACCCAGGGTACAGAGTGAAAAGCAGACAGGCAGTGACTTCCTCAAGAGACAGATAATGTGAAAACAAAAGTGATACAAATTGTATCCTGACAGTGCTAGCCCATGAATGCGTTGGTTTGCACACCTTATCTAAGCAGCTCTTGGAATGGAGGCTGCACAGCTGGAGTCTCCGTCCCCCATACCTACCCTTCTTCCTCCCTCCAATTTCTCAATCTAGTGCTACTTTTTAAAAGAAGGGGAGGGAAATAACTCCAGGACTGTGGCTTCTCACTTCCTGAGCTCTGTGCCCCCAATGACCCTTTCCTTGGATTGCGTTTCCTTTTTTACAATCCAGGAATAAGGAATTTCTTTTCCTTTCTTCTTTTCTTTTCTTTTTTTTTTTTTTTTTTTTTTTTGAAACTGAGTCTCACTATCGCCCAGGCTGGAGTGCAGTGGTGCAATCTCGGCTCACTGCAACCTCCGCCTCTGGGGTTCAAGCAATTCTCCTGCCTCAGCCTCCTGAGTAGCTGGGATTATAGGCACCCACCACCATGCCCAGCTAATTTTTGTATTTTTAGTAGAGACGGGGTTTCACCATGTTGGCCAGGCTGGTCTCAAACTCCTGACCACAGGAGTTTGAGTCTTTCTGACCAGTAATCAGAAAGACTACTGTGGAATTCTAAATTTGCTAGCTAAAAGCCTAGGTGGCTTCTATGTATAGCAGCGTACTTGGATGTGAAACAGACTTCTGGTGAGATTCCAGTCAAGTTCTATAGACGTTACTGGTAGTGAGACAGACTACTGTGGAATTCTTCTGGTGATTTTTAGTCCCTTACCCAGGTATGTTATCCTTTGGGTCCCAGATTAACTATAGCAGCTAAGTATTGGAATCAGACTTTTAGAACCATCAAGATAGCATAATGAACATCTCATAGTAATGTTTTATGGGCTGTCTGATATATTCAGGATTTGTTGAGCAGATAATTATGCACTGTGCTGTGTGTGATCTTATTCATGCTTAGCCATGCCACAGACACCCCACATTTACTTGTTTTTTTTTTTTTTTAAATACAAAGAACACTATTAACTTATTGGATATAGGCCAGGCGCGGTGGCTCAAGCCATAATCCCAGCACTTTGGGAGGCCGAGGTGGGTGGATCACGAGGTCAAGAGATCGAGACCATCCTGGTCAACAAGGTGAAACTGCGTCTTTACTAAAAATACAAAAAATTAGCTGGGCCTGGTGGCGCATGCCTGTAATCCCAGCTACTCAGGAGGCTGAGGCAGGAGAATTGCCTGAACCCAGGAGGCAGAGGTTGTGGTGAGCTGAGATCGTGCCATTGCACTCCAGCCTGGGTAACAAGAGCAAGACTCCGTCTCAAAAAAAAACTTATTGGATATAAAATAATTTTATGTTTCTAATGTCAGGAAATGACCCATTCCACTTAAGCAAGTTTTCCAAATAATTAAAATTTAATACTTCAAGAATAAAATGTATCCAGATATTTCTTAAAATTCTTAAAATTTAGGTTAAAATTTGCTGATCTCTTACTTTCAATAAAGCTGGGACTTGAAGACTTCCCATAGTTTTCAGCTGCCTTGCAAGTTCATAAACTTGTAAGTATACAAAGGTCAATAAGATAAATTCAGAGTTTTAAGGTAAGACCTTTATGTTAGCTTTTAAATTTTTTTTAAAGTTTTTAATTGACATAATAATTGTATATATTTACAGTGTACAAAGTGATATTTTGCTACATATAGTGGATAGTTAGATCAGAACAATTAGCATATCCATCAGATTGAACATTTATCATTTGTGTAGAGCCGTTAGTTTTTTGTTTTTGTTTTTGTTTTTTTTTCTGAGATGGAGTCTAACTCTGTCTCTAGGCTGGAGTGCAGTGGTGCCATCTTGGCTCACTGCAACTTGCGACTCCCAGGTTCAAGTGATTTTCCTGCCTCAGACCCCCTAGTAGCTGGGATTATAGGCACGCACCACCATGCCCAGCTAATTTTTGTATTTTTAGTAGAGACAGGGTTTTACCGTGTTGGCCAGGATGGTCTCTCAATCTCCTGACCTCGTGATCCACCCACCTTGGCCTCCCAAAGTGCTTGGATTACAGGCATGAGCCACCGTGCCCAGGAGCCTTTAGTTCTAAGTATGACAGATAATATATATACCAGGTGCTCCTATTAAGAGCCTTAATTTTTTTTTAAATTATTCAAATGTTATCACTGGAATTTTCCTCCTTGAACTGAAGATATACTACCATTTAAATGAAGGAAACTTACCTGGATAGCCAGTGTCACATGCTTTTATGTATTTATCTCAGGAATTACTATTTTTTTCTCCATAATTAGGAAACAGACTGTGTTCTTTATTTGAAACACAGCAGTGGAAATACTAGAGTAAAGCTGGGTGTAGTAGCTCATGCCTGTAATCCCAGCCCTTTGGGAGGCCAAGGAGGAAGGGTCACTTGAGCCCAGGAGTTTGAGACCAGCCTGGGCAACATAGAGAGACCTTGACTCAACAAAAACTTTTAAAGTTAGTCAGGTGTGGTGGTGTGCACCTACAGTCCCAGCTACTCAGGAGGCTGAGGTGGGAGGGTCGCTTGAGCCTAGGTGGTCAGGGCTGCAGTGAGCCATGATTGTACCACTGCACTCCACCCTGAGCAACAGAGCAAGACCCTGTCTCAATAAAAAAGAAAAACTGGGCCGGGTGCAGTGGCTCACGCCTATAATCCCAGCACTTTGGGAGGCCGAGGTGGGTGGATCATGAGGTCAAGAGATCGAGACCATCCTGGTCAACAAGGTGAAACCCTGTCTCTACTAAAAATACAAAAATTAGCTGGGCATGGTGGTGCATGCCTGTAGTCCCAGCTACTCAGGAGGCTGAGGCAGGAGAATTGCTTGAACCCAGGAGGTGGAGGTTGCGGTGAGCCGAGATCGTGCCATTGCACTCCAGTCTGGGTAACAACAGCGAAAATCCATCTCAGAAAAAAGAAAAACTGGAGCAAGAACTCTCCTCTTCTCATAGTATCCACGTTAGTAACTTACTGTACTCTGTGTACATCTTCTTTCAAAACCTTGCTTTTTTCTCAGTTTTTATAAGGTGAGAAAGGGAAAAACCTTCCCAATAGAAATACTGTCTTAAATGAGATTAAGATCCATAAAACAAGTTAAATCTCCGTATAAAAACATTGCAACTCATTAAAACAGAAAACCGTACCTTTGTTGTGTTTTTCCAAATATCCATACCCACACCCTGTTCAGCTTTGTTAATAATACAAAGATCACAAATGGGAAGCACAACTGCTGCTTCTCCCTCTCCTGTTCCCACGTCAGAGATGGAGAATAAAGCACAGTGAGCTATTCCACCAGTCCAGCAGTGACCTCAGAGGCCTTTGTAACAGTGTTTCCAATAACTGCTGCTAATAAAACAGAGTTAGAATATCTGCAGTCATTCAACTGTGTTTGATAGCTGAGAATGTAACTTGTTTGTGTGTCTATTAGAAAATTAGGAAGGCCCCACAGATAATAGGGGCGTAAGGGGCCCTGCTTGAAAGAGGGTTTTATGGTATGATTTTTAAAAACTTTTTTGTCTATAGCTCAAAACAAGTTTTAAGCCTGAGAAAATATACTTTAATTTGAGATGTTTTTAATGCTCCTAGAGTAATGAAAAGATGAATGAATGTATAATTAAAGCTTAACAGAGCAGTTTTATAAACTGCCTGGATTCTGGCTGTGCTGCTGTTCTCTGCCAGTGTGTCTCTGAGTTAGAGCATCATTACTGTTTGAATGGGAGGACGCAATGGAACCAAGGCTTCCTGGAGTTGCTGTGCAAGAGTGAGAAAACTTCCATCTTTACTAGCGTTTCTTAATGCTTTCTGTGACTTTTGTGCAATTACATAAGTTAAATTTAGAAAAATGCTGTTACTTTTTAAGGCATTACTATTCGCTGAAAGTAGATATGTCATTCCCCATCAAGGGTAAAGCATTTGTTACTGTCGTTAAAAAAAAATAGGCCGGGTGCGGTGGCTCACGCCTGTAATCCCAGCACTTTGGGAGGCTGAGGCGAGTGGATCACGAGGTCAGGAGATAGAAACCATCCTGGCCAACATGGTGAAACTCCATGTCTACTAAAAATACAAAAATTAGCTGGGCATGGTGGCACATTCCTGTAATCCCAGCTACTCGAGAGGCTGAGGCAGGAGAATCACTTGAACCAGGGAGTCAGAGGTTGCAGTGAGCCAAGATCACACTACTACACTCCAGTGTGGTGACAGAGTGAGACTCCATCTCAAAAAATAAACAAAAATAAAAACAAACTATAAAACTATATAGAAGTATATGGTCTGTGTGTGTGTTACTGTAGAATTTTCAGCTGGGCATGGTGATTGGTGCCTGTAATCCTAGCTAATCAGGATGCTGAGACAGGAGAATCGCTTGAACCCAGGAGGCAGAGGTTGCAGTGAGCCGAGATTGCGCTATTGCACTCCAGCCTGGGTGCCAAAACAAAACTCAGTGTCAAAAAAAAAAAAATTGAAAGCAGGGACTCAGTTATTTGTACACCAGTATTTATAGCAGCATTATTCACAATAGCCAAAAGGTAGAAAAATCCATATATCAATATAAATTTTTTAAAAAAAGAAAGAAAAATCCAAATACTGATTGATGGATGAATGGATAAACAAAATGTGTATACATGCAATGGAATATTATTCAGTTTTCTAAAGGATTGAAATCCTGATACATGCGACAACATGGATTAACCTTGAAGATATTATGCTAAGTGAAATAAGCCAGACACAAAAAGACATATATTGTATGATTCCACTTAGATGCAGTGTCCAGTAGTCAAATTCATAGAGACAGAAGTAAAACAGTGTTCACCAAGGGCTGGGGAATAGAAAGTAATTGTTTAGCAGGTATAGAGTTTCAGTTTGGGCAAATAAAAAAAGTTCTAGAGATGGATGGTGGCAAGCGTTGCACAACAATCTGAATATACTTAATGCCACTGAACTGTACACTTAAAATGGTTAAAATTAGTCCAGGCATGGGGGCTTATGCCTGTAATCCCAGCACTTTAGGAGGCTGAAGTGGGTGGATCAATTGAGGCCAGGAGTTCAAGACCAGCCTGGCCAACATGGTGAAACCCCCGTCTCTTCTAAAAATCAAAAATTAGGCCAGGCGCGGTGGCTCATGCCTATAATCCCAGCACTTTGGCAGGCCAAGGCGGGTGGATCACGAGGTCAAGAGATCAAGACCATCCTGCTCAACAAGGTGAAACCCCATCTCTACTAAAAATACAAAAAAAAAAATTAGCTGGGCATGGTGGTGCGTGCCTGTAGTCCCAGCTACTCGGGAGGCTGAGGCAGGAGAATTGCTTGAACCCAGAAGGCGGTTGCGGTGAGCCAAGATCGTGCCATTGCACTCCAGTCTGGGTAACAACAGCGAAACTCTGTCTCAAAAAAAAAAAAAATTAAAAATTAGCCAGGCGTGGTGCACACCTGTAGTCCCAGCTACTCTGGAGGCTGAGGTGGGAGGATTGCTTGAGCCTGGGGAGGTCGTGGCTGCAATGACCTGTGATCACAACACTGCACTCCAGCCCAAGCAACAAGAGTAATTACCTTGTCTAAAAATAAATAAATAAATACTGCAGCCGGGCATGGTGGCGCTCTCCTGTAATTCCAGCACTTTGGGAGGCTGAGGTGGGTAGATCACCTGGGATCAGGAGTTCGAGACTAGCCTGACCAACATGCTGAAACCCTATTTTTTTTTTGCCTTCCCCTGCATGTTCCTGCAAACAGACTCAACTTAAAATGGCATCTAATGAGGAATTCAGTGAGGATGAAACCCTGTCTCTGCTAAATACAAAAAATTTAGCCAAGTGTGGTGGCACATGCCTGTAATCCCAGCTACTCAGGAGGCAGAGGCAGGAGAGTCACTTGAACCCAGGAAGCAGATTGCACCATTGCCTGGGCAACAAAAGTGAAACTCAGTAAGAAAAAAAAAAAAAAGATACTGCCAAACTTTTTCCAAAGTGACTGCCATTTTGCATTTCTACCTG